ACCACAATGACTTCCATCCAGAAGAAAGACGATGTTGCCGGCCACCTGGCGAATTGTGATCTGGCCGTCTTCGTCCATGAAGCGTATCTCGGTATTGGTCGCCTGCACGGCCGGATCTAGAAACAGAGGCTTAAGGGACACTTTCAAGAAGTGGCCCTTCGCGACCCTCAACGACGTCGCGTTGTGCGGGGGCTCCTCTCGAGCACGCTGTCCCGGGCGGGGGGGGGGGGGGCGGCAAGAAGGGTGAGGAGAGGGATGGGAGGAGGCATCGAAAGGGGCAGAAGGGATAGGAAGGAGGTGAACGATGAGGAGGAAGAGGAGAAGGATGAAGCAGAACCATCCATCCCGCTCCGTGAATCCCTGCTACCGCTGGTTCCTGGAGGTCTCGACCCCTTCTCCGGGACTGCATGTCTTTTCTTTCACCCTGAAGTACTCCCCATGTACTCAGTCACACACACACACACACACACACACACACGCACACCTCTCACCTGTCTCCTCCTCTGGTTCTCTCAGTTTACTCAGTGTCTGACTCAGTCGCACTTGGACTGGCTCGCACTCAGACTCACTCATCATTCAGACTCACTCTTCCAAACGCAGACTCAGCCACCTGACTTCCTCACTCAGACCAACCGACGCGCATAATCAATCACACGCAACGACTGTGAGGATGTCTCAGGCGAGGCGCTGGCTTCAGCACTCCAAAGGGGGCGGGGGAAGGCGCCAGGGGGTATTGCACGGGCGCGTTCACGTCCAGATTGTGGGGGTACCTCAAGCGGTTTGCCTGTTCGTGTGCACAACATCCTGTGCTTTCGGAATCGTTCGTGAGAATGTCTCCGGCAAGGCGCTGGCTTCAGCACTAACAGCGGGGGCGGGCGCGTTCGCGCCCAGATTGGGGATGTCTCGGGCGGTTCGCCGGTTCGCATGCGCAACATCCTTTGTTTCGGAGCAGCTCGTGAGGATGTCTCGGGCAACGCGCTGGTTTCAGCACTCCCACTGGGGGGGCCAGTGGGTGTATTGCACGGGCGCGTTCGCTCCCAGATTGTGGGGATGTCTCAAGCGGCTTGCTTGTCTGCATTTGCAGCTGTTCTTGTTTTCGGAACAGTTTTTGAGGATGTCTCAGGCGAGGCGCTGGTTCCAGCATGTCCACGAGGGGGCGCCAGGAGGGATTTATACGGGCGCGTCCGCGCCGAAATGTGGGGGATGCCTCACATTGTTTGTTTGTCTCGGTGGTCTTATGCTCACCGCGCACTCCAAACGAGGGGAAAGAGAGAGGAGGAGGAGGAGGAGGAGGAGGAGGAGGAGGAGGAGGAGGCGGAGGAGGAGGAGGAGGAGGAGGAAGGAGAGGAGGACCTGTGTAAACCCAAGAGTCCTCAAAGATGTTGAAACAAACCCTCCCTACAAGCTCCCTCTCGAGAGGCCCATACAAGGTGTGCCACTGGGGCTACTGCCTCGTTGGAAGACAACCGTTTGAAGACCCTGGAGCATTCCAAAATATTGTTCTCATGACCCCAACGCCACGTATCAACCTGACTCCTGCGGCTTGACGATCCTGAACCATGCCAAACGCCAACCCTTGGACGTCAACACCGCGAATCAACGTACCTGGTGCAAACTCATAATCCGAAGTCTTTCCAGAACGCCATGTCTGGTACGTTGACTATGGGAATCCGTGAAGTTATTGCACATGTTTGAAACGAATGTGGGCGGCGCCAACGAGAGAGAACGCATGTTCAAAAGGAGCCGCGAAGACGACTTTGATGGCGACGACGACGAAGACGACGACGTCAACGGCGACGACGACGACGACGACGACGACGACGACGACGACGACGACGACGACGGCGGCGACGACGGCGACGGCGGCGACGGCGACGGCGACGACGACCACGACGAAGACAACGACGACGACGACAACGACGGTGGAGACGACGACGCACAGCGGATGCTCCATGAGGGGGGAAGGCTGCGTAGGCCCGCTTGGGTCGACGACGACGGCGACGGCGACGGCGACGACGACTTAAACGACGACGACGACGACGACGACGACGACGACGACAACGACGACGACGACGACGCATTGCGGATGCCACGCGGGGGTCTGCGTAGGCCCGCTTGAGTCGACGACGATGACGATGGCGACGACGACGACGACGACGGCGAAGACGATGACGACGGCGACGACGAGGACGAGAAGGACGACGAGGACCAGGACGACGACGAGGACGACAACGAGAACGAGAACGAGGACGAGGACGAGGACGAGGACGAGGACGGCGACGACGACGACGACGAATGTAGCACGTCTGTAATCAGCCTGGGGGAGGGGAACACTTCGCCTCGGATGCATTCGATCCCTATAACACCTCTTATACGAAAGGGAATATTTCTGTGGCTGCCTGTGCACGAGGGTACACGATCCCCTCGGCGACGCCCGCGACGACCCCCTGGCACGCGTGCTTACAAAAACTGTTTCGCGCCCCGCGGGGTCTATTCATCAGCCCCAGGGAGGGGGGGGTCCATCATTTGTTAATCACAAGCTGACATCACACACGAATTCGTACCCGTAAAAAGGACAACACAGCGCATTTGGTAGAAAATTTCCTGGACACGCGTGCACTCCGCCCAAAGACTGCATCAGTGAACGCGAATTGTACACAGCAGCCTTGACAGCACGCAGCGGCAACATGCCATTGAGGGCACCCCAGAACATGAGAAGAAGTGCGCGCGGAACAGCAGTGCTTCTGCAGGGTACGAATGGCGCGGGACTCTGGCCGTCACCAAGAACAGCGGCGCCTGGAGGAGGAGGGAGGAGGAGGAGGAGGGGGAGAAGGAGGAGGAGGAGGAGGAGGAGAAGGAGGAGGAGGAGGAGGAAAAGGAGGAGGAGGATGGGCAGGGGGAGGAGGAGGGGGAAAAAAAGGAGGAGGAAAGGGGTGGGGGAGGAGAAGGAGGAGGAGGAGGAGGAGAGGAGGAGGGGGAGGAGGAGGAGGGGGCGGAGGAGGAAGTCTTTCTTCGGGAGGAGGAGGAGGAGGAGGAGGAGGAGCGCACGTAGCTTGAGTGATGGTGACTCAGCTACTGCTGCATGCTCTATCGACGCATTGCGGCGAGAGCGGCAGCTCGTACATCGTAGTGGTAAGAAGGCGTCGCCGACCTCCTTGGGTGGGAGGCCAGGTCAGCCTTCAGCTTATGATAGATATGGAAGCTGAGGACGACCACGCGATGGCAACGTACGCGTGGGCATTCGGCTTCAGCATCGGGCGAGGGCCCGAGCCCGAGGCGAGTGAGGGGACAGGAAGGAAGGAAGCCTCGGGGAAGAGCAAGGAGGTGAAGGAGGCGGGGGCACGAGATGTAATGGGCGAAATCATCGGCGGCATCGGCGCAGCCGAGGAGGCACTGACGGGGTGGCTCACACGGGATGCGGGCCGCCGTGGTCCACGCCCCCGCCAGAGTTTTGATGTGGGCCCAAGCCCAGGATGGGGGACTCCGAACGAGGATTCCTCGGAGCGCCTCCCAGCGACTGGTGAGTTCGGCAAAGGGGAGAGGAGGAGCAAGGGGGAACCAAGAGGAGATACGACGGGCGAGAAGAGAGGGAAAAGAGTCAGGATACAGGGACGCATGGAGACTCAGAGAGATGGCTCGCTGGGGTCTCGACCGTCTGGCAGTGGCGGCGGCGTCAGCAATCTCGTGCCGTGCGGTGGCCTCTGCGCGATGCCAGGCGGCTCGGGCGATCCCAGGTGGACCGCCGAGCATCACATCCTCAAAATATTCTGCGATGGAGAGCGGGCGTCGCCACACAGCGCTCGAGAGACCGCGGGAGCCCAGCGCGCCGAGCGGTCCGTGCATTTCAGCCTGGACCCGAAGGAGCGAGAGGGCCTGGCTCCAGCCCCTTGGGCCGTCCTTGGAGAGGGTGCACGCAGCGGTCCTCCAGACGGAGGCTCCAGCCAGGACACGCACGGGCCTGGGGACCGAGGATCGGAGCCAGGAGCCGAGACCCAAGAGCTCCCCCAGGCCGAAGGCATTCGGGGGGAGGCGGAGGAGGCGGTGGAGGACGTGGCGCTCGGAGCGAAGGAGGGCGAGGGGAGGGGGAAAGAGCTGGCAGACATAGCTCAGGACAGAGAGGATGCCAAAGTTGTAAATTCGGCAGCTTGCCTCTGCAGGGGTCCGGCTCTGTGCAACCTCTGTCGTGCGTCTCTGCCACTTGCGAATAGGGTCGGCCCACTGGTCCGAGAGAGTTGCCCCAGGACCGAAAGCAAACCCCAGGAACGGCGTGGACCCGCGAACATGGAAGGAGGCCCACTCTGGAGCCAGGTCAGTTATCTTCGCACTCACGCGAGCCGCAGCGCAGGGCGTGCATTCAACTGCCAGCGGGACAGCACAACATTTGTCCGGCTGGAGCTCAAGATTGGCTAGAGTGCGGGCGGCGGTGAAGGGTGGAATGAGCAGGGGGAGGAGCCGAATCGAAGGGAGAGTGGCACCGACATCATCCGCCGTCACACCGCACTCAGGCTCTAGTCTTGGACACCAGCGTTCGGGTCTCGGGCAGAGGGCCAGCGCCTCGGGCGACGACAGTTGAGACTGGATGTGGCGGGCAAAGGGATCCATTGAGAGGGCCCAGATAGTGCCAGAGAGGGGGCATCCCTGGGCCACGCCAGACGTCACCAGGAAGAGAGGGCGGCGGGATGCTCCACATCGGGAGTGGGCGAGAGCCCCAGAGTACAAGGCAGAGATCACATTAAGGAAGCCCTTCGGGATGCGGTGACGCTCGAGCACACGCCAGAGGAAGGGCTGGGAGAGAGAGGGAAACGCGGCCCTGAGGTCAAAGGAGACGAAGAGGGGGGACAGCTCAGGGTGGTGGCTGGCAGCGCGAGCGACCGCGTCCTGACGGACGACGTGAGACAGGAAGTTCCGCCCGCGCACGAAGCCTTGCTGGCTCTCGTGCACTCTTGCGGCCACTAGCGGGGCAAGCACATGATTCGCTGCACTAGCCACCGCCTTGGCGTCACAATTCTTGAGACTCAGAGGGCGAAGCTTCGACGCATGGCGGACCACCTCAACGGAGTCCGAGGGCTCGTCACCCTTGGGAACGAAGACCATGTCTGCGAAGTTGAAGCCGTGCGGCGCACCCCTGCCCTGGTACAGGCCGATCATCATGTCATAGAGGATGTCCACCAATCTTGGATCCGCCAACCAGGCGG